ATGAGCTTACCACTTCTGGTGTTGCTAATATCTATCTTGCTGTTAGTACTGTTACGTAACTGTAAAAAAAAATGGTTATATAAAACATATACAGCTGTTTAATGTTGTCTGTGCGAGCATTTGTACACTGTCGTCCTATATGAAAAAGAACAAGCGAGTGCGTGGCTTCCGCTCTGCCGCTACTGCCTACAGCACCATTGACCAACGGCTGAAGAAAGTGCCTCGACTTCTGGCGACACCGCCGGTTATCAGAGCGGAGCAGGAGTGTTATGTAGCAGTGCTTGTCCAACAGCCATGACTTTGTTACCCTGTTTGCCAATAAAGGACGCCAAAAGCCAACATGCTTTTTTTTGCTGTCGGTAGATGGTACTGTGGGCAGCCACCGCCACTGAGCCCTGCCACGCTCTTTTTCATAAAGAAGGACAACGTAGATGAATTCAGCACCACTTTGTAAAAACACAGTTAACTTCCATCTATAACCTTCGCATAACGTCAATTCCCAAGGTACGTGGGATCTGCTGAATTTTTTCCTGAATGAAACATTTAATAAAGCATGGCCGTTAAAGAAGATGGTTTCCAAAAGGCCTACTCATGCAAGATGCAGTTATCTGAATGATGACTCATCATAAAAAGATAGCATATTTAATGCCCCTCCAAAGCCTTTCAACAAAATGTCTGATAAGTTCATTTATGAAACCTTGTTATTTTAATATCAACAGTATGACTACAAACAGAATATCTCAATGTTTTTATCTAACCAATGTTAATTTGTAACTTTCAATGAGTCCTTTTCTATGAGATCATTAAAAAGTCCAGGGTGAAACAGGGCTGCATATTGGTACCAATTTTATTCCTGCTATACAGCAACTATATCAAGGCTAGTATTTTGTAGAAATGCTTTTTTTTTTTTACTCTCGTGCCATTTCATGCTTGACCAGTGGTCTGGCCGCATCAACAGATCGTGCTGGTTGTGGATGGTAAGACTAGCACAGAATAAGATAAACACATCGCTAGACAATATCAGCCCGGTAATATTACACCTACATTAAGACTGAATAGTCTAAATTCAGACGCTTGCATAATAGGCAAATAATGGGCCTTTCTGACACTGCCTCTTTGACATGAGGCCCAGCGAAAATTACTGACCTGTGTAAACAATGGCAAATAAATTATTTCAGAAAGTGAGGTTGTGCTGCTTGTGGATGGTAAGACTAGCACAGAATAAGATAAACACATTGCTAGACAATATCAGCCCGGTAATATTACACCTACATTAAGACTGAATAGTCTAAATTCAGACGCTTGCATAATAGGTAAATAATGGGCTTTTCTGTCACTGCCTCTATGACATGAGGCCCAGCGAAAATTACTGACCTGTGTAAACAACGGCAAATAAATTATTTCAGAAAGTGAGGCTATTCAGCTTTCACATGATCTATGAACCCCAAGCTAACCAATTACTCGAACAGCATTGTTACTGTACATGTACACACAATAATACAACCGAAAAAAAAAATGTTTGTTTACTTTGTAGCGTAGGGCAATCAAACTTTTGCTGTTAACATAGGTTTTTATGCTGACTTTAAACATGTAATCAGTTTTACAGCAAGTTGCGCAGTTTCTGCTTTGTACCATGACAATGTGTAAAATATAGGTCTTTTGGGACACTTTCTTTGCCACTAAACTTTTATGGTTATGAGTCATTATTAGCTCATATTGCTCCACATTAACTGCAAAATGCAAATAATACACAAGAAAGTGTGTACAAGACATTTTATTGAACAAAGAGTCTTAAAATGCTCAGCTCATACTAATTACTTTAAGTTCGTAATATAAAAGATACGACGTTTGAAAGAACACAACTGCGCTTTTCACATGTCAATGAAAAGATAGGGAAAACTTCATCCCGACCTGGTCATTACGAGTACCAGAACATGATGCCCAAACTCAAGAAGGCATTTTAAATACAAAAATTAAAGGTCGTCTGTGAGGCAAAGATATACTTTTTAACCCTTTGAAGGATAATGGGACGAGTGTGTTCAGAAAAAGCTTTCTCCACCGCTTCGTGTTGCCATCAGCTCAATGCTTTTTTGCTACAGTAAATCGGGAATCATTAAGAAACCAGAAAAACATGTTTCCGTACATGGTATTGGCGATACGTTTAGTTTAATTTTGTTTTGTGCTGTTGGACTTTTTTTGTACAAGTGGTGTCACAGTGTGTTCAAGATGGCTTAAGTTCTAGATTTATGGTATTTTTCTCCTTTTCTTGAAAGAAATAGCTTTAGCATGCAACTATGGATTTTCTTTCAAAATTGGAGCAATGTATCGGCCCTAAATCATGTTTGATTGATTGATATGTGGGATTTAACGTCCCAAAACCACCATATGATTATGAGAGACCCCGTAGTGGAGGTCTCCGGAAATTTTGACCACCCGGGGTTCTTTAATGTGCGCCCAAATCTGAGCACACGGGCCTACAACATTTCCGCCTCCATCGGAAATGCAGTCGCCGCAGCCAGGATTCGATCCCGCGATCTGTGGGTCAGCAGCCGAGTACCTTAGCCACTAGACCACCGCGGCGGGGCGCCCTAAATCATGTTGGCAGAAGATGAAGAAATATCTTACTTAGGCAAACTAGATAATATGCACTCACAGCTGTTTTCGTCAAGGGCATTAGTGCATAACAAAACAGCACTTTCTTAGGGTCCTCAAGTTCTTTTTTGTCCTTTTTTTACCACTACGAGAGCTGTCGCAATTGGACCAAAAGCTACGGCTAAAATGCTGCTTCTGAAATTGAAGGCCAAAGGGGAAAAAAGGCAATATTGATGCTTTAGACAGCCAGGAAGCAAAATATAACACAAATGCACAAGATCTATGAAGAAAGCTAATATCTCAGGCCAGAATGAGTTCACGAATATGACGTAGCAGTTGTAAATGCACCAACAGGATTCAATGCATTCAGTGACACTGCGACGATGTGGCTTCTCGTGATTCATGACCACAATTTTACATATGGGCACAAATTCAGGCATAACTGAGGTGTTCGTCCTTATCTACACCTAACAAAGAGACAAAGAGGCTAAAAAGGTTGATGCATGCCAAGACCTCACACAGACTCACTGGGCTGAACACAACAGGCAGAGGCACATTTGTCTACCACATATGGAAATAAGCAGCTCACAATTTTTTTTGTACAGTTTTTGAAGTGTGCCTCTGTACCGTCTACATCAGACCTTTTTGTTCTAGAAATTTAGCAAAAGAATTACAGCTTGGTGCTCTCATGAGACAATGGGACAGGTATTGTCTCGCGTTTTTCATGGCACCTCATGGGTCAATGGGACAAATATGTCCCACTTTTTTCTCTTAAGCTAATGGTCATATCTTAGTGAAACTTGCTTCATACTATTTCTAAGCATGCTATTTAGGAATTCCTCAGGCATAATTTCAATTGCCACGTGAATAATATTGATAAATCCCCAAAGGGTTAAAATGATTTCTTTCATACTGAGAGACTGGGAATTATGTTTATTTTGAGCATGGTGGCTTTGCTGAACTTCTCATGCGAAATGCAATAGCAAGCAGCCAGGTGACATTTCCGAGATACTGCAGACTATGAGCTCTCTTTATAGTTTTTAATATCAACCTTGTGCTTTTTAAAAGTGCTTTTAACTTACTTCAAATTTAACTACAACCTATATTTGTTTTTGTCACGAAATCAGTAAAAGCAAACTTGTGAAAGCAAGTAAAAATAAAAAAATATGTAATTTTATTTAAAAATTGGCGTTTCTCGCATAGTAAAAGGAATGGACATAAACAATCATCTGTGAAATAGGTGAAATACAGTTTGACCAACACTACTTTGAAGGTGGATGAGAACCTAAGCCAAGCTGTTGAAAATATATTCTAGGCCAGTGCCAGGGGGGCTCTGCCCCCTATGGGGCAACCTGGAGGGGGCCCGAGCCCCCAGTACTCTCTGCCTATGCTGTGTAGTATGATAGGCTGACCAGAGGAGCCTCAGCACTGACTGCATCAACTGCCGGGGATAGCCAAGAAAATGAAACACTCGAACACATCGATGCACTCAAGAGTTTCCCTTTCAGGCATGTTTTCAGCGAATGCTTTCTGGGTGCATCCATAAATTCATGATCAGCCGTAAACCCCCTTCCTCCCACCACCTGAACAAACATACAAACGTGCCCTAGCAAGTCCGATTTTACTGCCTATACTCATTAGGCCGTGTTTTGGCGCTACCACCGGAAGCTGCATTGCCAGGTGCCTATACAGGAACATTATCTGGCTGTAGCACTTGTTGATCAACACACCATAGATGCTTGCCAGAGTTGATGAAAGCTTTGTCAGCACATATTACATTGCTGCTTTTGAACAACTCTAATGGTTGGAAGGATTACGCACTCCCGGGCGGACAATAACCGAATATTTCTCATTGAACTTCTTTCTTTTCAAACGACTGTTTCTTTTGTATCTGCGCTGAATACCCCATAACAGTGCAAGACTATGGACACTGCTAGGGCTGTTTGACCAGTTTGTTGGTTTTATGTATTATGTTGGTTTTATTTCGAATCATGACCTCTTTTTCTTTACACATTATGCTGACAAAAGTTGCCCCTTTACTGGAAGACAAGGCTCGTACCTGGCGCAGCTTGTTGAGGTGATCGAGAGCAGCGCAAAGCAGGCGGCGCACGCTGATCGTCTCCACGAGGGTGAGGTGGTCGACGCGGGCATGAACCTCGTCGCTCTTGACGAAAGCGTCGACGGAGCTGCGCAGCTTGGCCTGCCGCATGTCCCAGATGTCCTTGACTAGAGTGCGCACTTCGCTCGCGTCCGGTATGTCGGCGGCGGCCACGTCGAACAGCATCTGCGTCACCTCCAGGTAGTGCTCGCACGGCATGCGGGTGAAGAGCGGCGAGCCAGCCTCCTCTTGCTTCACCTCCTCGAGAAAATGCTTGCCGAGCCAGGCCGGCGGCACAATGCGACACTGCTGCCTCTGCTTCAAGTTCAGGGCCATCCACAGGGGCACGCTCAGCGGAGTGCCCGCCGTGAAGGGACCCACGTCGCCAGTGATGAGGTACAGTTTCTCCGCACTGAATGTCGGTATGATGGTGACCGGCGTCTTCTCGGCCAGAAACTCTGCGTCCGCGCACTCCATGTTCACGCGGCCCGCCACGTAGACATGCTGATGATGATCACTGCGGCCCTTGAAATTAACGGTTACTATTTTTTTCTAGTGGTCAACGTCGGAAAATTTTCTGTTGACAAAACCACGGAGAAAGTCAACAAATCTCTCTACCGTGCGGCAACGCTTCCAGCTTAGAGGCAGCGCAACAGAAAAGGTACACAAGATGCTTGCGACTTGAGCCACTGAACACCTACCAGTTTGAGCCGAAAAGCTGGTCCCCGGCCGCGAGCTGATATATTTTCCTGGACACGGAGATATACATCTCTCAGAATTTATGACCATTCTTTTCTTTTTATTATTGCTTTTTCATGTCCATACCACTTGATTATTATACATTTAAACTATTCTCTTTTTATTTTCGGCGCTTTTTTTATAAATTTTTGTATTACTTTTTGTGATGTTAAAGATTTTATTCCTAAGTTTATTTGATATTCGTTATGCATGATTGTCTGCCACTCCTGCTGCTTTGCCAACTTGTGGACGGGTCAGGACATCGTCAAGCTCTTGAACTTTTAGTGCTGTACTCCTTCTAAACAAAAGGAAATAAAATAATTGATTGATTGTGTTTCCGAAGACGAGCGGATAGACCGCCCCCCCCCCCTCCCCTCCCTCGCAATGCAATGTGTCAGGCGCCTTTACGAGACTTTCCGAAGCTGCGCGCTCATTGGTTCGCGCGTGATGTCGCTAGCAAACACGGCTGCGCCCATGGAGGAAAGAAAAAAACCTTTTCCTTCCTCCATAGCTGCGCCCGTGACGATGCTACAGGCAGCTGCCAGACAAGAATAACCCTTTACCCCCAAATGCAGAGATGTTGCAAAGGGTATGTCATAGAGTTTCATACAATAATACCTAGGGGGGAATCTCGAGCTAGTGTCTACGTGGGCTCCTTAAGCAGCGCGCGTACCATCTGCTTTGGATGCATTACTTTCTTGAGATTCGCGACGCTTGTTTGCCGAATCATAGCCTCCTAGATTTCCTTTGCTTGCCGGATTATCCGCGGTCACTTGAAAAGCAGCCGTCGTCAGAACTATGGTAGTGGCACCACTTAAAAAGGGGTGTCTTCAAATAATGTTTTACGTTTTTGAAGCTCATATGCAACAAAAGTAACGTAAAAAGTTTTAAAAGGCTGTAAACGTAATTTTACTTAACCCTACGTAAGTGCCACCATTGTAGATGACAGGCGTTTTGTGCTCATTTAGCAGGCACCCCGTCGATACAAGGCATAGCCTCTAAAATTAGCAAACGCCAAAATTTCCAATCTCAAAGGCCAAGTACAAAAATTCTTACCCCTACGTAGGTAGCGCCGCCATAGATGACGAGCGTTTCGCGCTCATCCGGCAGGCAAAAAAAATCTAGAAGGCTATAGGCCAAATGTAAGACAAGGCTGTGCGCCGAGGAGTCGGCACGCCGCCGTGGACAGTTTTTTTTTTTTTTTTTTGCTACGTTGCTAGAGTGTATTGAGTGGCGTGACCGCGCGTCGCCGCCCAATCGCTTCCGCGTTGCCCGAAGCGGCGGCGCTGCAGTCGAATAGTACTGATAGCGCCGCGCGCAGGAACTGCTATCAGGGTTAGTAGCGGTTCTTGAAACCCTTGAAAACCCTGGAATTTGATAATAGCATTTTCAAGGCCTTGAAAATCTTTGAATTTTTTCAGGTCCTTAAATTTCCTTGAATTTTGTCAATAGGCTTTAGTTTAGCCAGTTTTAGCGAATTCCGCTTGAACGCCTGGCAACTATGTACTAAAACCAGCAAGGCATTTAATTTAATTTACTCCTGTAGCTACTGCGCAGTACAACTGGTAGGTGTTCTGTGCCAGTACGACAGTCTGGCGTGGTTGCAGCGGTAGCGACGACCAAAGCTAAGCCTACCCTACCGGTGTAGTGGGAAACATGGTCTGTGGATAGTCCAAGTCGTCTTCCGCAGCTGCAATATGCCGGGAAAATGCAACTTCCAGCACGCGTGGTTAACCGGTGCTGCTTATAAAGAGTGGATTTCTCCGGACACATCGAACTCGCATCGAGCTAAGTGCAAGGTATGTGCAAAAACATTCGACGTGTCGTCAATGGGGGAGTCTGCCCTCAAAAGTCACATGAAAAGCGCAAAGCATGTGGAGAACATGACAGCAACCACAGCTCATAGTACTGTGCGGAGCCACTTCACAGCTGTTGAGAAGCAACGCGTCGAGCCAACTCCTTCAAGTTCAACGTCGTCAGATGTGAGCAGCCTGTGCAAAGCTCATGAGAGTGTGGTCGACGCGGAGATACTGTGGACCCTGAAAATGGTCACGGCGCACTGCTCCTACAAATCGTCCGCACATACGGGGGACCTTTTCAAGAAAATGTTCCCGGACAGTGAAATCGCTAAGGCATTTTCCTGCAGTGAGAGGAAATCTGCATACGTGGTGTGCCATGGTCTGAGACCGTTTTTTCTCTCGTGCCTCAGTGCCATTTTTCATGATGCACCAGCGCGAAGGGAAGACTTCTCTACTGTGACAAGCCAAATAACATTTCCTCTCAACTTCGCTTCTCATCGCTGGGTAGAAAATGTTCCCATCATTGAACGTGCCTGCAACGCGAATTGGAGCAGTCGGACGGTTACACCGTTCTGTTCGACGAGTCTTTGAACGAATACCTGCAGAGGAAACAAATAGACATTCATGTGCGCTACTGGAGCACGATGCCCGAGCGGGTGACCACGAGGTTTTATACGTCGGTGTTCATGGGACATTCAACTGCCGAAGACCTTCAAGAGAAGCTTCTGGGTGCCCTGGAAGATTTGCCGCTGGCGAGAGCTGTTCAGCTGTCAATGGATGGCCCCAATGTAAACCTGAAGTGTTTTAGAGGAATGCAGGAATACCTGCAGCAGAACCATCAAGTTCAGTGTTTCGACCTGGGTACTTGCGGACTTCGTACCATACATAACGCGTACAGGGCGGGCGTTGTTGCCAGCAAGTGGGGCCTAGAGAATCTCCTTTCAAGCCTCAGTGCCATTTTTCATGATGCACCAGCACGAAGGGAAGACTTCTCTACTGTGACAAGCCAAATAACATTTACTCTCAACTTCGCTTCTCATCGCTGGGTAGAAAATGTTCCCATCATTGAACGTGCCATAACCCTCTGGGGTGACGTGCAAAAGTACGTCGCATGTGCAAAAAAGAAAGAGGTGAACTTGCCAAAGTGTGCATCGTTCATCCAGCTCAGCGACTTTTGCCAGGACCCACTGCTGTTGGGCAAACTGAAGTTTGCTCTGGGCATCGCGATGATTCTAAAACCGTTCCTCACGGAATATCAGCTGGACAAACCACTGGTGTTCTTTTTGAAAAGAGATCTCGAGTGCCTCGTGAGGAAGCTTCTTGCGAGATTCGTGAAGTGCTCGGTGCTGTCCGCTTCCACAGGAGTTGTCGGTATGCTGAAGATGGACGTCGCAGACCCAAATAACCATGTATCATCAGAGAAAGTTGATATTGGGCACGCTGCTGAACAAGTACTCAAAGCCGCGAAGGTGAGCGCCAAAGATGTATTTGCCTTTAGGATGGAATGCAAACAGTTCCTTGTGAGCACAACCAAGAAGATTCTGGAGAAAAGCCCACTGACATACCATCTGGTTAGGAACCTGTCATCTCTTGATCCCCGTCAAATGGCCTCAAAGCCAGATGACTGCCTTGCAGGCTTCAGAAAGGTCCTAGACGCACTTATTGCAGTTGGTCGATTGGGTGAGCATGAGCGCGATTCTGTCCTTGGGGAATACACAGAACTTCTGCAAGAAAAGAAACACAACCTGCAGCAGTTTGACAAACACACTCTTGGCCTGGACGAGTTCTACCTTGAGTTGTTGAAGGGTGACTCATCCTACATGCACTTGTGGAAGGTTATCCGGCTTCTTCTCATCTTGAGCCACGGACAGGCAACTGTTGAAAGAGGCTTCAGCGTCAACCGCCAGGTCTCTGTCGAAAACCTTAAGGACATCTCGTATGTGTCACAGCGAATCGTTTGTGATGCTGTAAGCAAGGCTGGTGGCATCCTGAACGTTGCCATAACGAAGGAGTTGCGGAAGTCTGTCGCAGCCGCACACAACCGTTATCGGGCCTATTTGGAGGATACGAAAAAACAAGTGATGGAGCAGACAAAGGCATCAAAGAGAAGCCACATTGAAGAAGAGATAGAGAGCATCAAGACAAAGAAGAGGAGGCTGGAAGCAACAATCGCTGACTTAACAGCCTGTGCCGACAAGTACGCTCTGCGGGCAGAAGCCACAAGCGACATCACTTTGATTGTGAAGTCCAACAGTTTAAGAAAATCTGCAAACGAGAAGTCCCTGGAACTTGCAGACATGGATGAGAGCCTGAAGGGGAAGCTTCTGGAACTTAAAACCTGACGGGAAGCTTCGGGTACTTAATATCTTGAGTCCACTGTTTGAAAATAGGCCCCTTTTGTGTGTATGTGTGCAATACGTCCTAGATACTGAGGCGAATCAGCAAAAGGGATGATGACATCAGCAGGAAACAGTGGTATGAAACCTAGTCCCCTTTTGTGCGTGTGTGCAATGCGTCTAAATTGTGAGGTGAATCAACCAAAAACAGTACAATGAAACCTAGTCCCCTTTTGTGTGTATGTGTGCAGTACGATTGTGAGGTGAATCAGCAAAATGGATGTTAAAATCAGCAGAAAACAATGCAATGAAACCAGCATATATGAAAATTGTGCTTGCATTTTCTTCCTTACAGTAAAATATGTGCTTCCATGCTGTAAAAAATTGTTTTTCTACGGTCTTAGAAAAATGTTATTTCTCAAGTCCTTGAAAATCCTTAGTTGGGGCCTTGAAAGTCCTTAAAAACCCTTGAATTTTTTTCTTCGTGGTCGCTATGCACCCTGTGCTATGCGCTTGGGCTCCTCCGTTGCGCTTTCTTGATGCAGATTTCTTCGTACCTGCCCATCATTCATGTCTAGCACATGATGCCATAGCCCTTGAAGTATGACACGTCAATATACTGAATTTGAGCTCCAGAAAAGACCTTGTGAGAGATCGAAAATAGTTCAAAAAGGGTGTGTTTCATAATGATTTCTTTTCTCTTAACTCTTTCTTCGTTGGTTAGGCGTTTACAATATTCAGAATAACTGAGATGATCTATTGGAAGTTAGCTGTGCTCAGAAAGCTGTGAGATTAAAAAAACAAATACTGTGTCACACGCGTGCAGAACCAGAAAGCCACAAATAAGAAGGTGAGAGGAAAGTAATCTGAACCCCCTACACCGCGAAATGTTTTCGTAATTTAACTTTTCAGGATATGCTAAATATTTACACGTATTCACCGCTACCACGAAGTGCCAAGTTAGGCAGGCGTTCTGCTGCCCCCCCTCCCCCCTACAAAAAAAAAACTGCCATGGGTAGCCCTGCGCCAATAGCTTACAGTTAGCGAAGCTGAATATAGCATGTCTCTACAAATATGCACTGTAGATTTCACCTTTTCGACAGTATGAGGTCTCGTAACTAGTTCAAGTCTAACGTAGTCGGACGAGAGAAATGCACCGCTTAAAGTAGTAGCTGTGCTAAGGGGCATTGCATGAATATATATATAT